GTTCCGATTAAAATGTGGGATAATTAAGATATTTAAAATATTTTCAGTAAAAAAAATTTGGGTAATTTTGGTTTCGGATATTTCGAATGATAAATTGATAAATAGCATTATTTGGATATTTAATTATTTTAAGCTAAATATAAATGATATTTTTAGGTATATACTCTGTATTTTAAAAATTCAGGTATATATTTTTTGTTTAATTCTGGTGTTTCGATTCTATTCTAGAGATAAATGATTCATGCAGTTATTTATAAATTTTGGTTCTATTTCAGTTATTTTAATTTTGTTTTCGGATTCAGATAAATGTGTTCATAACTAGTTTTGAGATTGACTAATGGATGATTATGTTTGCGTAAGAAACGATTAAAGAAACATGTTTCTAAAATGTCTAAACTTACAAAACATCTCAAAACAAAAGGAACAACCAATACAGAGAAACCAAACATCTTTCAAATCTCTTTTACAACCTTATTAAATAAGCTTCAAACTGATAAAAACAAGTATCACAAACGATGAGTCTTCTACAGGAATGGAGGTAAGATCACCCATCTTCTCGGATACTTCGGCTTCCCATCTTTCCCATCAAATATCTGCAAATCACAATCCCCACAATAAGAACACCACAAAACGCCAAAAGACTTGAGAGAGAGTTTAGCTTTTGTTTACCTTTCTCAAACGACTGTGCTTTCCAAGAGCCCAATTAGTCATAATCAGAGCAGCAACAGCTAAGAAAACATATCCAGCAATTGTCTGAGTAGCGATATTGAATCCAAGCCACTGGTAAATCTCTGTCGTGTAATTGGCACACGTAACAATGTTGAAGAGGAAGCCACGCGGGATCTGGTACCCTCCAGAGCCACTAGGGTCTCTAAGATTCTTCAACAGAATGTGACAGTAAAAGTTTGCGACCTGGCAGACCAAACCAAACCCGAAACCAATCTTCATCTGAAGATCACTAACCGGCGTGTACAAAGGATGGTTCACGTAATAAGCAATGAAAGCACCAAATGTCCAGTAGTAAGTACAGTTCCTGAAGACGTTCCCTATCGGTGAAGTTGCGTGGCTGAACCTGTGGACGAAGAACGTCTCCATGATCCGTTTGAAGTAGTGGAAGCACCAGTAGTACATAGCGTAGGTCTGGACCGGGTGGATCACACGGTCTTGGTTGTAGCCTAGGTATTTGTAAACAGGGAAGTAGTAGAAGACCGGGTAGATTAGGAGTGGACCTAGGTACTCGAAGAAGAAGAGTGTGCGGTATGAGACTTGTGCTCCCAAGTCCTTGAAGACTACGGTTAAGGAGTCTGTGTTCCCATCACAGTACTCTTTGAGTGACTTCTTGCTGTTGAGGACAACAGGTTTGTCCTTTGATCCAGGAGCTACAGGAAGAGTCAGTCTTTGCCTTGACGGGTAAAACTTCTTAGCTGTTACAAAACAACAACAAAAAAAAAATCACACACAGTTGAGGATGAAAAGATCCTTTTCTATAAAAAGAGATGCCATAATATATAAGTAAAGCTATTCTACATGTGAAGAAAAAGACTCAAGCTCAATGCTCAATGCTCAATGCTTAATACAAATACTGTAGAGATATCATAAGAGGGATACACTGATTACACATTTGTTCATAAGAAAAATTTAGATAGTGTCAATATAGTCTAATAAAGGCATGCAAGTACTAACTTAGGGTCAATCTAAAAGGAAAGCATTTGAGTCTAAAGGTAACATATCCATAAGAGAAAAGGTTGTCACTTGTAATGAGTAATCAAAAAACCCTTAACTGGGTTTACAAGCTTAAGCAACCCTCATTAGTATAATTTCATTAACATATCTAAAAAAATCATAAGCTTTCACACAGATCTTGATTATATAACCCATAAGAACCAATCTATGAAAGTGGACTCAACACATTACAGATCCAACTACTGCATGAAATGAAACTAACACTAGCTAATCAGAAGTAGATCGATTTCAACATATCTATAAGTCAATTCACAAGTAAAGGTAGAAACTTTTACCTCTCTTGTGAAACGCTTCCTGCAGATCAGCAACAGTAGCCTACAAAGAACAAAACCCACAACCCTAAAATGAGAAAGCATGCATCTTTTTTTTTTCACTACATTTCCCCCCAATCGAGCAATTCAAACCCTTAATCAAATTAAGAGACGAAACCCACTTATCAGAACATAGATCAAGAAGAAAGTACCGAATCGGGGAGGTCGAGAGGGGCTTTGAGAACTTCTCTGCCGCTACGGGAGACGACGGTGACTTTCATGGCTTAAGAGCGGAGAAAACGAGGAAGACCCAGATGTGGAGACTACTAAGAGTAAGAGAGAGAAGGAGAAGATTAAATAGAGAGCAGGAGGATGATGTTAAAGAAGAAAGGAAGAGATTGGGAGCATTGAAGTTGTGTAGTTGGGAGTAGGACAACTAACTAACTATCTCCCAAACTTATGATTTTTGGATCTTTGGACCCATTTGGGTTGCTACCGTCCCTTTAATTTGGTCCCATCCCCAATTTTTTTTTTTGGGTTTGCTAAACCGGTTTTTGGTTCATTATTTGCTCCAACATTATTTTTTGGTTTTGTATAATCGGTTTTGGTTCAGTATTTCTAGTACATATTTATTGTGGCCTTGTAGGTATTGTAATGTACTTAGATAATTCTATGGCAAAGCCAACAAATTGGGTTGAATGTAGAATAATGGGTCGTCATCAGAGTAGATTTACTAGTCAATGTTGGAGAAGAAAACATTAAAGTGTAATGTTGTGAAATTGTTATTAGTTGGATAGTGGAAACATATTATGTACTTTTAGTTTTTGACCTATATGAATCAAGGATACATGGTTTAAATAGAAAGACATACACAAGGTGCGTCAATTTAATGTTTGTTTTTTAACTTTTGTGTAATTTAATCATTCTGACAAAATTTACAAATTTCAAGCTTCAAGCTTCAAAGAAGATTTTCAGTTTATATGGTTAAAGGACTAAACAACAACTCATGACTCCAATTTGATTATTTTATGGTTATAATGAAACTGGCTTTGGTAATTTTGATGCTGAACTTTGGTGAATTGTGCATTTTTAGTTCAAGATTTCAACTTGACATAAATAAAGATAGCTTCTTCTTGAGAATATCATTAAAACATGTGTTTCAAGAAGAGGAGACAATGCTCGAAACTTGAGAAAGCTCATGAGAGTCTAAACCTGCTCCATTGAGTAGAGTGATTAAAATGATTATGTGTTTGTGTTTATTAATTTGTCATTTGTCTAGTGGGAATTACATTCATATTTTCTTCATGAAAGAGATTAAAAACAAGTTTATTTTGTTGATACAAATATTTGAATGTACATATAATGTTTCACATGTGTTTGTTGGCATACCCAATGAATTTCTACCTATGTTCAATGAGATTATCAAGCTGGCTGAACCAAAGTTCAGCAGTTAGTGACTTACGTTTTCCAGATAGTGTCTAAAGACATTTTACAATCCATAATTGATTCAAAACCTTACTCTAATATATGAATCATTGAGTGCATCGACTCAATGAATACAGAGGTTTAAGATGTTTAATATGCATCTATAACCAAGAGATGAGTACACATTTTATCTTACTTAATTTAGGTAATATATACCATTTAGATAATTTTTGGTTTATACATGTTTTTTGTTTTGTTCTAATGAATCGCAACCTACACCAGAATGTTTGAAAAATAAAGATTGAAAAGAGATTATGGGAATCCCTTTGAAAGATCAAGATAACCATGGTAATGTTTAATTAACATTTTATCTACCAACATTTAATTAACTAGATTTCTATGAGAGAATCCATTAAGTGTTGTTTTTGTTTGTTTGTATGCTCTTATATGTGTTTTCGGCCATTGTCGTGAGCGAGCTAATACGGACTGTTAGATTCACTGAAAAAACTAGTCAAACTCCAAAATAAGATACTCTACTCAAGACTTGATTGATGTCTCGGATCCAATGAAATAGAACAAGATAAGAAAATAAAATCACTATTGATATACCTCAAATCTCATCAATTGTTTCATAAACGTTATGGAGCATGGAATTCAATGACCGTTCGTAGATTATGTTGAAAACGTTCTTGATCATACCTCATCGAGACTTACATTTACCAAAGAGTATGTGAAGGTAAATACGATGGAGTATGCGCTTCTCCATCTTGAACATTGACCCATTGGAGCAGCTTTGGCTTTGTTCTACTCTAAGTACAAAAGCGTTGGAGACAAGGCAAGTAAATTATTTTGTGCATATATAATATACATCTATTCATCAATTGTAACCCATTGTTGTTTGTTTTTGTTTGTAAAAAGATATATCGCAGACCTGTGAATCACAAGTTTATAGGAAAATTGGAAAATATGTACTTTCAAACTAGTCATGGAGAATAGTTTGGATGTGGCTACAACAAGATCTCATTGGAAATTATTTTGGTTTACATACCTCCTCATAGTGAAAAAAAATCAATTAATTAGTTTAGAAATACTTCGGTAAACCTAGTTTTCTTCCTATAATATTTTCATATTCAAGGTTATAGACAAAGGACGAATAGGAGATAGAAAAGATCTACCCGACAAATAAGTTATATATCATTATCCAACTTTTTTTTTGAATTCCATTTCAAGACAAGTAAACTATCCAACATCGAACTTGGGTGAAAATTGTGCAGAATGGAGATTTGAGGATCAGTTGATGGAGAAGTAGTTGGTCAATGTTGAAGAAAACAAGAGTCCAGGTCTTCTTGTATGCTATTTTTTCTTTTAGTGAATATCACTATTTGGGTTGTGTTCCAATGACTTTACTTGTCAATCCAACATCTAGCTTCAAGGCACATGTGGTGACAAGAGGTGGCAAAAAAAAGGATAAAACATATCCAGGAACTCAGAAACGTACATGACCAGCTCATAATAAAATCAACCGGTATATTACTCATGGACATGGGATATCATGCATGGCAAAACCACTAACTACTAACTCTACTTGTCAATCCAACACCTAGTTTCAAGGCACATGTGTCCAGGTCTCCCATCAGTTGTTCTCCTTACTATACCTCGGCACTCTGGACCACCACGGGCCTTGAAACTCAGGTAGAAGACTGCATTGCCCGACTTGAGCTTCATATCTTCCTTTGTCTGTACCACAACTTTCCTCATCTCAAATGGCATATAAGCACTCTGCAAAAACAAAACTACTTATTAAGTATGCTGTTTGGCCCAATCAATACTAAATAATAAGTTTATCCTCTCACCAGGTCATCTTCCCAAAGGGAGAACAATGCAAACTCAGCGTACAGATAAAGCCACTGGTTCTCCTTCAACTCCCAATCTTTCACCTGTGTCAGTAAAAAAAATGGTTTGTTGGTTTTAATAAAAAAAGTAAAAACATGAGAGTTATATACCTCATAGAATTGAAGCTTATCATCTCCGGAAAGTGCATCATCTTGTAGCCAATTAGGTAAGTCAACTTTGTAACAGGGATCTACATCATCATCAGGGTACCAAAAGGATCCTAGTTCTCCCGTTCCTGCAACAATTCAAAGTCATTAATCAATATTCATTAATGATCCATCACACAAAAGCTCAGTTTACCAGGGACTTGAGGCTTGATTCTGCAAGTAGTTGTGAAGAGTCTCAAGCGTGCTTGATGCTTGAGCACAGTATCGGTGAGACAGGTCTGGAATGTAACAACTGAGTTGTCGTGGAAAGGATCAGTGGCCTCCAGTGTGATGTAAAACGTGAAAAGTGAAGAGATTTGTGTATTGACTTTGGTGACTTGCTTGAACTGCAAGTTAGTCCCCTACAAAAGAAAGAGCTGTCAAGAGAAACACATGCATGCATGCATGGTAGGAGAGAAATTTAATTAATAGTAACGTTGTTAGTACTTTTTCAAGGTTGTAACAGTGGAGTCCGACCTTTCCGAAGAGTAAGCTGTGGTCACTACATCCACCGGGAATTATCCCACCAAAAGGTTGAAAGAACAAGTCCACATCGAAACCCTAATTATCCAAACTCATCGTTAATAATAAATCACTAAAGGGAGACAACAACTAAAAGGAAGGGTTTTTAAGAGAAATTACGCCAGATTCGGATACTTGTTGTTGATACTTGGACAACGCCACCGGATCTACCTCCTCGTCGGAATCTTCGTCTACTGCCGGACAAGGTGGTGGTGGAAGACTGACCGGAGTTTCCAGCTTCCTCTTACGCTGCGGAGGTTCTCCCAAACACATCTTCGCCTCTTCCACCATCACATCGAACATCTTTCCGACCCAAAAACTCTTTCAACGCAATTTTGTTTAGACAGCTTTTTGTTTTTTTTTTTTTTTTTTCCGAGGGTTTGTTTT